CATATATACTGGCAATGTTACAAAAGAAGGTCCTTTTAACACTATTACATGAGTATGATTATCCATTTGAGAAATACAATTAGTCAAAATACAATTAAGACATGATACATAGAACCATTCATAGAAATATTTGCTTCACCAATTAAAAGAACATAGAGCATTTTTACACAAGCTAAAACAGTTCCTTTCAAAGGACAAACAGGTTTCAAGCAACTGGAATGTCCTGCCACTGTTCCCATCACAGCAGCAAATTTCCAAACATAAATTTGTGGAGATCCAGTACTGGAATACCAAATTCCAGCTGACAGTCCTTTGTGCCAGGATTCTGCTGTAGACACTGTATAGGAGTCACTATAATTGTCCTGATTTCCAGACCAATCAAGACTATATTGCTGTGTCCACGTGATGTCATACTTTAAAGGAATAATGCCAGTACATCGTCTCCATAACAAAGTTCTGTTAGACTCTCTCAGTTCTTTTGTGAATGGAGGAAATCATTGAGGGGGTGAAATATTACTTATCCAATCATCTTGAGGAAGCAATCCAAGACATCCCTCCAAAGTAATATTTTTTGCAAAACATACATGAATCCATTTACCAATATCCAATATAAGAAAATTGTGAGCAATCTGGAACTCTTGGGTGGCAGGTAGATCTAAAAGCTTGGTATCTTGCAACCACAATTTCTTTTCCTTCCCAAGTTGCAGGATGTAAATTTGATGTATCAGGAACATAGGCCCAATAGGTCTCACTCTGGCATCCCTGGATGGTCATTAGCAACATCAGGACCAGCATCTCTCTGCTCCATACACCACACCAATCTTTCAGGCAACCAACGAGCTTCATTTTCATTCTGTGAGAAAACATAAACATGCCCTCATCCCCATATTGAACAGGGTCGGGGTCCTTCCATAAGTCAGTACAAGTATCTTTACATTTAACTTGAGAAAATTTTGTGGTGGTGCCTTCATGCCAAAATTGATCAGCTGCAGATTTTCCAGCAGCATCCACTTTTAAAAATTTTAAGACAAGATTTAAAGCATTATGTGGTGACTTGGGGTATAACTCCCCCTTCTTTAATTTTTGAAGATGTATTTTGAGGCTGCTGTGAGCTCTCTCAATAATACCTTGTCCTTGAGGATTATAAGGAATGCCTGTTTTATATTCAATTTTCCATTGAGAGCAAAATTGATAAAAGCTTTATAAATATATCCAGATCCATTATCAGTTTTAATAACTTTTGATATCCCCAAATAGGAGAAACATTTCAGGCAATGAGCAATTACATACTTAGTAGCCTCACCAGTTTAAGCAGTAGCCATTAAAAATCCTGAATAAGGGGCTGGAGAGATGGCTCAGAGGTTAAGAGCACTGCTTGCTCTTCCAAAGGTCCTGAGTTCAATTCCCAGCAACCACATGGTGGCTCACAACCATCTGTAATGAGATCTGGTGCCCTCTTCTGGCCTGCAGGGATATGTGCAGACAGAACACTGTATACATAATAAATAAATAAATCTTAAAAAAAAAAAAAAAAAAAAAAAAGAAAAAAAAAAAAAAAAAAAAAAAAAAAAATCCTGAATAAGTATCAGTTGTCACATGCACATATTTCAATTTTTTTATGAGTGACATCCATTTGCCATAAATAATTAGGAATAAGACTTCAAAGATTTACTCCAAAGTGAGGTACAGTCAAATATTGTGGACATGTAGCATATTTCTTAATGATTTGGTGAGCAGTTTCTCTTGTAAAGCCAAATTGTTTTCTTAAGCTTTTACTATTCTGATGATGTGAAGCATGTGATCACTGAGCAAGCTCAACTTGAGACAGACAGATTCCTTTCTTCCCTTTCCTATCATTATCCCAATCTTACACCTTCTCTTGCTTTTCAGACAACATGCAAATTTCTACCAAAGTTCTTTTCTTGTGATTTCTTCCCAGCAGTTTAGAACATTGCATAGGTATAACATTTCAAACAAGAATAGAAACATATAGATATATGCATATATCATAACAAAACTTATTTTTGCATTAATATATTAAAAACCTGTATCAATGTGAAACGTTTCAGATTAGCAACAGTTTTTCTTATCTTAATCAATAATAGTTTGTAATCAATTCTCTTAAATGATGACAAGTATTTGTAACCCATTGAACTCAAATCACCAGAATCCATGTATTGTTTCTTTTCCTGTGGAGGCAAAAGCATAATTTTTTCCAAAACATCAGAGTATGCAGGCTGGTAATTCAACATTATTTTCTCAGGCAGTATCAGGACAGAGAAGGGTTAAAGTGGGTTAAAGTTGGAAGTTGCTGGCCAGCAGAAGAGACCTTGAGGTTATCACAGTGAAGAACTTGGCTTAGAAAGGAAAGGAGGCACAGAGTGTGTCCTTGGCTGCCGTGTTCCTGAAAAAATTTTGTTAACTTTTCTGACTACAGTAATTAACAATTAACATCAGATTTTCTTTTCGACATCTGTTCAGCTTGCCAATAGTAGGAACGAACTCCCTGCCACTTCATCTGCACTGCAGGCCTGATGGTAAGGGAGCTTATGGAGGGAGGCAGCCCTTGCCATGCCTCCCTCTCCTTCTCTTCCAGGAAAACGAAGTAGATTAGCAGACAAAAAAAAGTAACACTGACAGACATAAGTTCTGGTACATCAGCACTGAGACAATGGCCTCACTCGCTGTTAATGAGTCCCGTCTAACAGATGACTTCTGTTGCAATACCCGTCACACCTGGCAGAAGCTACCTGCTTATCTCAGTTCAGTCGGGGGGACCCAGTCCCCTCAAACACATGGAACAAAATAGTAACATAGTAACAGTCAGAACACAGACCAAGACAAAGAGTGCTCACATTTATATTTACCAGCTGCAGTGAACAGATCTGAAAGTGAGACATTAGGCTAATGGTCACGGGTTTGCGGTCACGACCTGCTTATTCTCTCCAGATGAACCAGTCATAGTCAGGAATGGAGGTAGGGGAGAATCTTGAGGTGTGAGAGAATCTTCATTATAATACTTAGCAGCCTCTTCCTCTAATTCTGTCGTATTGCCAAAATCTAACTGGTCATTGTCATCAAATAACTTTGTAAAAGCATCTGCTTAAAGCCGTCTCTCTGACAGAGCAGAATGTTTAGTTTCAGTTTTTACTTCCTTCAGGAAACACTTTATGCCTTTCAGGACAGAGGTCTAAGTTGTCCTGAATGAGTGTCCAGAGACTGAAAATATTTGTTGTAAGTTTTTCTGGACAATGCTTATCATAATACTGCTGTATCTTAACTCCAATACATTCTACAAATTCTAAAAATTTACACAATTGCTTATGTACCTCTAGCCTTTAAGATATCTTTAAGTAAACGTACAAACAGCTGTTTTCTATTTCCTTGGCCCATACTTATTTTTACACTTGTTCACAAATTTTTTACCACGCGTCTGCTTTTTTATTTATACTTATTACTTTTACTCTCGAGTTAACTCACCACAGCTTCCACTTTTATCTTTTTTATCCTTTTTCTTCTGTGTTGTCCATCACGGACTCCTCCGTACCTGCCCCCTCGCTGGGCGCCACTTGTCCGGCCTGCCAACAGTCAGCTGGGTAGCTGGGTAGAGGCGTGCGGATTGAAGAGACAATGAAGAAGACAGAAAAGAGTCGAGAGGTCTGTCGGTCAATGCCGGACAGCCCCGAGTTTATTTCACAGCCAGCTCGTATACAGTCTTGAAGGACAGAGGTAGGACAGTGCACAGCACAGGCATTCAACCACTATATTCTGCCTTGCGTCAAGGAGCAGGCAGTTTCATTTTCTATCTCAATGTACCTCCAGCTGGTATCAGCAGCCTGCATCTAGCTAGATAGTGTGTTCATTCCCTTGGGCTAATCAGGACTTTCTCACAGCCCTTCAAGGAGACTCTGTGGGCTAATCAGGACTTTCTCACAGCCCTTCAAGGAGACTTTGTGGGCTAATCAGAACTTCCTCACAGTCTTGGAACAAAGAAGCTTGAACTCTGTTGACTCAAGAATAGACTTCAGATTCAAACTGGGAAACTGAGTCAGTTGTGGGCTCCCACAGATTACATGTATTTTTTATTTATATGTGTGTGGTATATATGAGGAGGTCAGAAGATAACTTGCAAGAGTAAGTTCTCTCTAGCTACCATGTGGGTCCTGGGAGTTGAACGCGGGTCATCAGGCTTCGCGGGAAGCCTCTCTACCCACTGAGTTATCTTGCTGGCTCTTTTTTATTTATTTAATTAATTAATCTTTTGAGACAGAAGCTCAAGCTTGCTATGTAGCCAAAGATGACCTTCAAATTGAACTTGAGATTCTCCTGCCTCCACCTCCTGAGTGTTGGGATTACAAGCATGCACCACCACACCTGGTTTATATGGTGCTGAGGATGAACCCACGGATTTGTTTGACGTAGGCAAGCACTCTACCCAATGAGCTACACCCCCAGGCTTTTTCTGGGATGGGAGTGGGGCAAGGGGGGGGTCTTACTATGTAGCTCAGGCTGGCTTCAAATGCATGGTAATTCTCCTGCCTTAGCCTCCCTAATGCTGGGATTACAGATGTGCTGTACCATGTCTAGCTATAGTTGGATGTTTCTTGGATGTGCACAAGCACATGTATGCACATACACACACAGATCTATTGTGGAAGAGTCCCTAGTATATAGAGAGGAAAAATATTTCCCTTGGACTCTCATATTCTAGATATCCAATTTTATGAACTCCTGCCTCAAATTCATGCAAACAGAGTTGGAGGGTGGCAGTGGGTAGCCATGGCAGAACCCAGCTGGAAGAAGAGGGACTCAAGCTGGGATGAGAGGAGCAGCGGAGGAAAGATGGTCAATGCTGGAGCCCCAAAATAGGGTGTGAGCATGAGAGAGGCAGCCGGGGTGGGAGGTGTGAACTTGGAGCCCAGGGTTCTTGGGTGTGAATATCCTCCAGTCAGGGAGCATGGGGACCTGTGGCACTCATCTGTGACTCTACTAGGTTGCAGGTTCCCACTGAAGGATGGTCCCAGGCTGCAAGCCTGGCTATGGCACCTGGGCCGTGAACAGTGGGTACCCAGCTGCCACCAATACTTGAGCAGTGAGCATTTCACACCCTCCTGCTTCCAGTGGCGATGGGCAGTTCGCTACCTGCGGCCTGGTGGGGTGTCCTCCATCTTCTCCAGGGTATCAACTGAGGTGAGAAGGTCCCCTGTAGAGGCTGATCCCCAGCCTTGCCACCTGGGAAATAACCGTAGAATCTGGACTCCAGTTCTCTTCCCTAAGGCAAATCCCTCTTTGATTCTGTCCTTCAGCCTTCCCTTCTAAAGGAGGTCTGTGTAGAAACTGACCCCTGCTCTTAGGCCTAAAGGAATGCCCCTTGGAGTATCTCTGATGCTTTAACCGCCCCCGGCCCCCATCTTGTCCTTTTGAGCCAGACAAGAACCAGAAGCACCGAAAGCATGTGGCACTGGCCCCTCCTCCTGGGCGGGAGGTTTCATCCCTGCCCCTGGAGCCCAGCAGCATGGCATCTGGCCCAGTGCATTTCCTGGTACTGGGACCGGCATCAGGAGACCCCGAGACTTGGCCACCATGCTCCTGACCCCTTGTCCCTCCCACTTGCTTCCACAGGGCCAAGGACTGGAATCTCTGACCAGCGCCCACAAGCTGGGTTGGAGGCTGCTCTTGGGGCACTGCAACAGATAGTTCACAGGTTGCAGAGGCACCAGGAGTGGCACCAGGCACAGCTGCAAGCTTTGGAACAGCTGGCACAGCAGCTGCACGGGGAGAGCCTGCTGGCCTGCACACACAGGGTCCATTGTGTTGGGCGAGTGCCCCTGGGACTGGTACCCAGGGCGCTTGCTCCACCTGCAGTTCTGCTTTAAACCAGGGTCCAGTGTCTAAAGAACCTCTCCGTGCCTTTGGGGTTGTTGGTGTGACCTCACAGCAGAGTGCTTGCCTAGTAAGGGCCAGGACCTGGGTTCCATTTCCAGCACAAGCCAGACAAAACAGGCCTTGAGTGTCAGTGCAGGCCTGTAATCTCAGCAAGTTCAAGGCCAGGCTAGACTAACTAGCAAGTTTAAAGCTGGCCTGGGCAATGTGCGACCCTGTCAGAAATAAGCAGACATTAAAAATCTGTGAATAGCAGCCAATCATCAATCAGAGCTGAGTGATGGCCCAGCGAGGGCATAATTAGGAAACATGTTTAAGGAGCGCGCTGTCCGTGCCAGACTGAAACTTACTGAAAACCGCTATGGTCATGATGCTGCTTTTGTGCCGTTCTCTGGCTATGAAAGCAGAGTCCTAACTTTTACCAAAGCAGGTAGGCATAAAACTGTAACCAGGAACCACCATGGAGCTTGTGTTTGCAGCCCTGTCAGGCTGTGTAAAGCTCCTAGGCAACTCCAGTACTCTACTGCTGAGTTTGGTCTTTTGAGAGGTATAAAATAAATCAATTCTTGACATTTTTTTTTCTGCTTATGACTCTGTGGTAGAGGTAGGCTCTAGCTCAGTGATAAGTCCTTGCTTAGCATGTGTGAGATCCTGGGTTCAATCTGTAGCACTCTAGCGAGGTGTCTTCAGCTGGTGGGTTGGACATACCCTACAGGTGAGACTGTTTGGTCACAACAGTGCTTTAGAATGGTTGGTTTGTGGTGACCCAGAAGATAAAGAGCACTGGGTCCGTTTTCCCAGGTGACAGTGGTCAGCTGGAGATGAAGTGTGGTTGTCCCTGGTGCTTTGAGACTGTGGCCTGGGCATCAGTTGTATGGTGGGACTGGGACAGAGCTCAGACTGATGCCTGGAGCTTTCCATGGAGCTTGCTGGGGTCCCTGGGCTGACATTGTCTCTCTCCGCATCCCTGCCCCTGTTTAGTCTCTGCCTCCTACTAAATCATCTTTTCCCTCTTTTTTATGTGTATAAGTGCTCTATCTGTGTGTATGCCTGCAGGCCAGAAGAGGGCACCAGATCCCATTTTAGATGGTTGTAAGCCACCATGTGGTTCCTGGGAATTGAACTCAGGACCTCTGGAAGAGCAACCAGTGTTCTCAACTGCTGAACCATCTCTCCAGCCCCTACTAATTCATCTTATCTCACCATCTCCACATTCACTGACTTTCTGTCTCCATTTTGCTATCTCCCCACCTCCCCCCCCCCATGTCACTCTTCATCTGTATCTTTCCATGTCCTTGTCATTCCACGTTGGTCCTTCCTGCATTTATCTTCCCACCCTCCCCACGACTGTCTCTGACCTCACATCTGCTGCCTTGTCTCCCCACATCTCTCCATTCACATCTTGTTTCCGACATCCCTGGCCTTCCTGTTCCTCACACTATGCCTGCCTGTCTCCCTGTGTCCCCTGTCTCCCCCACTTCTTGCTGGGATGACTCAGCTGCCTGGACCGGAGGATTCACCATCATCTGTGGAAGGCCTGACATAGCCATACACCTGCCGCCCTGGATGCTAAGCCCAAGCCCCTGGACACTCAGATGCCCCCTGTGTAAGGGTCCGAGTGACAGGACTGAGAGACAGAGACAGAAGCGGAAGAAGAGTTACCACACTCAGCCTTGGCCATGCCCTGGTGCCTATACCTGGGGAGGAGCAATGCTCCCAGCACTGGGTCCCACTCTCATCCACTTGAACCTTGAAAGTGACCTTGGACCAAGTTGCCCCGGAGCCCTCATCCCCTAGGATGCTCATCCTCTGCGGTTTCCAGCCCCTGCTATCCCCAACTCAGACCCTTGGCAATCAGTTAAAGTCTGAGCAGAATAAGGGTCACTCGCTCAAGGGGTGCTGTGCCTGGTTCTGAAGAGTCCTGGTGTGCTGTGCCAAGCCTGCTGTGGGGTTGGGAACACAGCAGTGAACACGGCCCCAAACCATCCCTGCCTTTGAGTTCATGTCTGCTTGAGTAGAAAGTGAACTAGTAAACTAATAAACCAGATCACTTCAAACTGACAAGTCATCTCAAGACTGAAGAGGTATGATTGATAGGGGCGTGGGGATGGGGTGGTGGTGGTCTATGGAAACTGGGTGGAGAGGGGGCCTGTCTAGAGGGCACTTGGGCCAGTGTAAGAACTGATGCAGAGGCCCTACCCTCTGGGTCATCAGAGTAAGGAAGGCTGTATTGCTCCAGAGAAAACCTAAGGGGGTGGGTGCAATGTTTACAAGAAGAGCCAAGATGTCACCAAGAAGGTACCTGTGGGTTAAATATTAAGAGGGAAGGGAGGGGACCATACAGGTGTCGGGGGAAGAGTTCCCCAGCAGCAGGAACCATGAGGATGCAGGTGTAGCTGCAGTGAAGTGAACTAAGGAGAGAGAGAAGGTAAAGTAGGAGAGGTGACAGGCAGCCGGGCGGTGGTGGCGCACGCCTTTAATCCCAGCACTCTGGAGGCAGAGCCAGGTGGATCTCTGTGAGTTCCAGGTCAGCCTGGTCTACAGAGGGAGATCCAGGACAGGCACCAAAACAACACAGAGAGACCCTGTTTCGAAAAACAAAAACTAAAACAAAACAAAACAAAAAGAGAGAGGTGATAGGCACGTTCACGTAGGGCCATTGTGGGCTATGGTGGTCCACACCTGCATGAGCGTGTGTGTGTGTGTGTGTGTGTGTGTGCGTGTGCGCGTGTGCGTGGGTGTGTGCGTGTGTGTGCGTGTGCGTGTGCGTGTGTGTGTGTGTGTGTGTGTGTGTGTGTGTGTGTGTGTGCGTGCATGCAACATGCGCATACCTGGTGGTGGCAATAGAGGAAAGGATTGTGGTTCTTGATGTGTTGCCCAGGTTGAACTGAATTGCAGGCCTTCCTCTTCAGCCTCCTAAGTGCTGGTCGTAGGCCTGTACCATACCTGTTAACACTGGCCTTCACCAGGGCTGATGTCAGGCAAGCAGATGTGGGACACGTTAATAGGGACAGTTCAGCCAGGTTGGGGACAGCACAGAGGAAGCTGCCGCTCTAGTCCGGGTGGGAGATGAACAAGTATGGACCTGGATGAAGGCTGGGAGAGGCAGAAGAGGGAGTCCCCATTCTGTCCATTAGGAGGCAGAGGGGTGGAAGGCAGGCCCAGGCCAGGGTGATTTGGGGTACAGCAGGCAAGGCCAGCCCAGGTGTGAGGCTGAGATGGCCCTGGGCTAGAAGTGATAGACATTTTCAGAGGTGCCATCCAGAGACCGATGGGCACCCTTAACACCACTGCAACCATGATACTTGGTTCAAGCTTCAGCTCTACTTGCTATGATCCCTGAGCTTACTAACGGTTCTGTCCTGGGTGATGAGGATAAGCGTGAGGACGAAGATGATTTAAAAAGAAAATGACCCTCTGATCTCCCGTACGTGGGGCAAGCTTGAAGGAGTTAAGACTGGGATTCCAGAGAGTGGAAATACCCAGCATCAGACTCAGGATCACTGCTCTAACCGGCCTGGTTTGCCGAGTGGAGGAAAACACCCGTGCTTGCCTTCTTACCCATCTCTTTCTAGCCCTCATCTCGGCCTCATCTCTCCAATTTCTATGCCTGTCACATCCTTCCAGGAAGCCATCTCCCCTTCCTCTGGAGGTCCTGAGAGTCTAACCTCTTCTCGTTGTTGCCTGCAGCTTCCACCCCGACTGACTCCCAGCATCTCCTCCCGCCTCCCCCCCCCCCCGCTCCCCCCCCCCCCCCGCGTCTAGTCACTGCGCATGCTCCGCCAGCGCCCCTCCTTCTCTATCCCCCAACCCCCAGCCAGCGTCTGGGCCTCGTCCCCTTCTCTCTGTCTCCCTCTCCTCCCCCATCTCGTCCCCCGACACTGACACCCCGTTACTCCGGCAGTCTCCTCAGTCCCAGCCTTTCTCTCCAACCCCCGCCATCCGAGGTAAGATGGGAGGCTGGTGAGAAGGGGAGGGGCGAAGCATCCTGCATCCCTAGATAAACAAACCCCGGGAGGGGGCGGCCGAGACCCAGGGGCCTGGCACCCGAAGAGAAGAATGGGAGGCTGGGCCTGAGGGAGGTGGCAGGCTTTGAGGCGCATATCTCCGGGCCTTCAAATGAGTAATGGGGATCCCTGTGGCTGCCAAATCCAGAGCTGGAGACTAGGGGGCCACCCGGGGTTCTTGGAGCTTCTGTGGGCTTGGACCCCCTGAGCTGTGGGGCGCTATCTCTAGCTGACCTCTATTTTCAGGATTTGCCTCCAGGCCACCCCCCAACTTTGCTCAGGCCCCCCAGGGCTATCGAGGACCATGACTAAGACAGATCCTGCTCCAATGGCCCCTCCACCCCGAGGGGAGGAAGAAGAGGAGGAGGAAGAGGATGAACTGGTCCCAGAACCCCCCAGCCCCACCCAGGAGCGCCGGCAGAAGCCTGTTGTGCACCCCTCAGCACCTGCCCCACTCCCCAAGGACTACGGTAAGCACTGTCCCCACCCTGGAATCTGGTATGGAGCTTTAGGTGATGGTGGCTTGGCTGCACTGTGTTGATGGTGGAGGTGGAGGCATGCTGAAGGTAGTCCACGGAAGTGTTAGTTGCAGAGCCTTTAAGACCGCTCCCCTTCACTAATTACACTCATCTATTGGAGAATGGGGCTGGAAAAATCCTAGTCTTCCATTTGTGACATACCAACTCAATCATTTAGTCATTCAACAAACATTGTATGGGAGCTCCTGTGAACCTAACTTATGCCAGAAACTGGGGCTGCAGCACAGAGCACAGTTCTCCTAAGGCTTTGCTGAGAGAACTCCCAGGCCCCAATCATAGCCACACAAATGAGTCTAAATATGAAGTTACAGGAGACAATGAGATTGATTTTGTCAAGAACAGAGTGCTGCAAGAGCTTTTAGAGACAAGGTTCCCCTTAGGAGGTACCATGTGGGGAAGACCCAGTTTGGATTTGGGGGGAGGCGGCTGCAGGATCCTGAAGCACAGGAATAAAGGATCTGAGGTAGAAGGGCATGAGGTAGGAGCCGAGAGCAGCTTGAGAAACGGAGCGTCTTATCATTCATGGAGGACTGAATATCTCCGGCTTCATCATGAGGATCCAGGCATGAGCCTTGCTCTCAAAGAGACCCAACACATTACCTTCCGAAAGGCTGAGACTTCCAGCAGAAGTCTCGGAGAGACTCCCAGCAGAGTCTCCCAGACTCGGGGAGTTGGGCTGGGTCTTTCTGATGATGTGTGTTGCAGACTGAGGTCCAAAGACTGAGGAGGAACCAGCTGTAAGCAACCTGGAGAAATAGTTCCAGTTCAAGAAAAGTAAGTGCAGGGCCCAGAGGCAGAAATGAGTTTGGAATGGAAGACCACAAAACTGCATTTAGGGGGCGATCAGAATGGAGGTGAACTATTACCAAGGAACAGATCTGGAAGGGACTTAAAGGCCACACCAAGGACTTGTCCTGCATTTTGAGTGTGAAAGGAGAGAACAGTGTGTGTAATCTGAAAGTGAGAAGTGGCAGGTGCAATGGACAGTCTCATCATTACATTTTAATTGATTTGGTGTGTGTGTTTGCACGTGTGTGCCACAGCGTGTGTGTGGTAGTCAGGGGACACATTTCAGCAGTCAGTTCTCGCCTTCCGCCACGTGAGTCCCGGGGATGGAACTCAGGCCATCAGGCTTGGTGACAAGCTCCAGCCCTTACCAGCAGAGCCGTCTCACCGGCTCTTGATTGGCAGTCTAAAAGATCCTGCTGGCTTCTGATTAGAGAGATGGGGCCCAGCCGGGGCTGGTGTTGACTGGGAATTGCTAGTAGCTGTGAGATCCAGACACTAGTACTGGGTTCAGAGCTGGCAGCGCTAGAACGGGCCAGGAGGGATTGCCTGTGGACATGTCACCTGCCAGAGGTAGATCAGGGGGACAAACGTCAGTCTAATTAGAAAAACAAAAAGGTTATTAGCTGGCGAGATGGCTCAGTTGATGAAATCTTTGCCATGCACCATGAGGAGCTGGGTCCCCAACACACATAAAAAGCTGGGCATGGCTGCTGGTGTCTGTAATCCTGGTGCTGAGGAGACAGAGGCAGGAGGATACCCAGGACGTCTGTCCCGTCTAGACAATCAGTGAGCTCCAGGTTCCATAAGAGACCCTATCTATCTAAAAACTAAGGTGACCAATTGAGGAAGACACTCGCTGTCAACCTCTGTTTTCCACAGTGCATGCTCTCCATATGCGTGTACACAGAGCCACACACACACACTATTATCTGGGGGTTTGGGGTATAGTGGGAGTGTCCACCCTAGGAAACCAGGAAATCTTTAAAAATCCAACTGGATCTGGCTGGAAGTCACAGCGCCTAGGCTGGTAATCCTGCTTAGAACAAGGGATCTGGAAATGTGGCTTATTCCAGAGAGAAAGCTATGGGGGCATTTGTTTGTCCAGCTCATACATTACTTCCTAAGAGACCCATTAGGCCTTTCCTGCATGCTAGGTGCTGTGTGCCGTAGGTATAATGTCAGCACACGCAGCCGTGGGGACAGAGGCATAAGGAAGGCAGGACAGGAACCCCGTGTTTACATCCCAGTGACGGTGACAAGTGAAAATGGGAGAGAAAGAAAACACAGACGAGAAGGGCCTGGGGTGTGGTTTGGGCGGAGTGCTTTCGTAGCTCAAGACCTTGGATTCCATCCTCAGCAGAGGGACGAAGGAAGAAGAGAGGAAGAAAGAGAGTAAGGTAGAGGAAGAAACAGCGAGGCAGGAGCATACACACCATGTTTGGGGAACGCGCACATAATAGACAGCACACCCAGGAGGGGAGGGTAGCGGTGTAGATGGGCGATGTGAGGAGGCCTCTCTGTAGAGGTGACATTTGCAAAGATTTGCAAAGCCTTCTGCAGGGCCGAGGGACAGCAGCAAGTGCAGAGGGACAAGAATTTGCTTGGCACGCTGGAGGGACAGAAGTCAGTTGGCTGAAGGGGACTAAGGGAGAGGGAAGGTGCAGACTTTAGAGGGGCCAGATTGTGCAGAGCCGTGTGCCCCGCGGGGAGGACTTCGGGCGGTACTGTGAAAG